TTAAAAAACCTAGCACACAAAAATAAAATGCAAATGCCATACAGAGCAATACGTAATCTACCTTATAAAATAATAACAACAACAACAATAATAATAAATTGATCATTCCTTCCCTGCAGCCCGTACCAATTAAATGATCACTCCTTCCCTGCAGCCCGTACCAATTAAACCATGGACTGGAATCGGTCCATTTACCAGGGGTTGGGGACTCCTGCTTTACAGTGGAGATTAAACTTAGAATAACCTAAAAAAAAAAAAAAAAAAAAAAAAAAAAACATTTAACAGGGGATGTAAATACAGTCAATACTTATACTGAGGTTGAATTAACAATACAAAGTAAAGAAGATAAATCACACACTGAGCAAGTATTTTAGGAACCGTAGGGAGAGAACAAATGCCCTTTTAACAGGAAATGTTACATCAAATGGTATTAACATTCAGGTTTGCTATAAAACAATATAAAAAGACAAATACAATTGCTCATTTTTTTGCACAGATTTTCCTAAACAAATGACTGTGATAATAATTAAACACCGTCTACCCTGCTGTTTGGTTTTACAACTATGTCGATGCGTGAATTCTTCTACAAAGAGGCAGTCAAGGCAGACAGATGGACTTTACAGTTCGCTGCCAAACTCTGGTTTTATCTTCATTAATCAACACATAGCGAGTGACGACGGACCACTACTTCTTACAGCAACTGTCGCCTCTTCCAAAGCTCTTTCAAAGAATGAGTGAGGATTTTGTAGTACATCGGGAAACTGCAAATGTATTAGTCCTCATATATCAAATATGCTCTCTCTTAATCCAAGTCAAAAGCCTTAGAAACATCTACCTGCTGCGCATCAGGTTACCAAGAAGAAGGAAAAAAAGGTTCCTAACAAACACACATACACACCAAACAGTACACTCCCTTCTTCTCGAGGAGGAATGGTGATGAGACACAGTGATATCGCCAAGCTACCGAAAAAGAGAAAGTCAATTCTACTGATCAGCCATCTGTGCTACGAACAGATTTGCGACTCATCTGAGATGTCTGACAGACAGCCAGCTTCCAGGAACGCTTTGGCAGCATGTAGCCACTGACTCAATGTGCCACTTTAATTGTTCGGAGAAGTGCACAACAACAGCCAGTCCTGTCAGTGTGCCAAAAGCAAAAGAATGAATGTACTTTTGTTCACATGTGCTCTTTGTCATTAGAATGGTAAGGCTCTTAGAAGCTTTTTAATTTAACTATAGGTATTTCAATGAGCTGTCAACACTGAAAACAACAACTGACTTTAAGTCTGTACTTGTTTGTGGAAATGAGAAGGACATTGATCAAAATGTTGCTGAAAAAAATTAGCATTTTTTGTATTATATCAAATGAAAATAGAATCAATCAATCAATTAATGTACTAAAGTAGCAGTAGAACAAGAAGAGAACCAGCCGTTGTTCTTCATTTTCTTCTACACCTACTTTTTCTTAGTAGTTACGTGCTCTGCTCAAGCATGACTTTTCTTGAATCAAAACACCTCAAAGCGTACAGGTGCAGTACAAGCAAATACTTGGTTCCCATTGGAATGTGTGTGTAACTACATGTTATATATATATAGGTATATATACATATATATAGATATATATATATACACAATATATATGTATACATATATATACTGTATATGTATATACCTATATATCTATGATCTACTATGACTATAACTGTACTTTTACTATTTAGTATTTATTATGTACCACTATTTGTTATTAGTTATTACTTTTGTATTTTGTATGTTTACTGTAGCTCGATTGTTGATTGACTGACTCAAATTGTAAGTCGCTTTGGATAAAATAACGTAATGTAATATATGATGACAGACTAATCACAAATAAGTCCATTTAGCATATTTTTATTGGCCATGTTTTAGAAAGTCAACTATGAAGCATCATGAAAATTGATATATCTACATAATTACAACGCACAGAAAATGGTATTTAATATTTATCATTTAATAATTTAATATTCCTATTTAGGTTTACATATACTGTATACAGAGCTGTACTAGAGGCTAATGGATAGGGATGGCTACAGGAAGTAGGATTCACTGGGAATTTTCTTCACAATATCTGTCTGAACATGAACATGGATTACACTATTACAGGAATACATTTGGCACATGCGCACACACACACACACACACAATAGTTAAAATATGGTGACTGAATGACGGTTTATATCACTTTCTAGCACTTTTTACTGACATATTGTACGCCATATTATGGGGTTAATGGATTGGGGAGTCCGAAAAAAATGCAAATTTCCAGGATGACCACATTGAGGGAGCCATCAGAGAATGGCATGATTATGAACATTATGTATAAGAGGCTGTTTAAGAGCAATGGCTCTCAGTCACTCCTGGCTGAGTAGGCATGGAAAAGCTAAAACTAAGCTGATTTAGAAAAAAAGAAACACTTTTACAGAGACACTTTTGGACTTTTATTTGCTGACATTTAGCATTAAATTAAAAGCAATAGAAGCAAAACCGCACCTTAAAACTAAAATAGAATTTATTTTTTACCATGTGCTCCTAGGTTCCGAAGTTGTATTATCACATTCACAGATGTTTTCAGGCATTATATAAACAAACCCAATTTAATCATACACAGTGACTTATTCTTTTACATTTCTTTCAGCTTCCGCAACTCAATTTTAACTTGAATATACAACCAAAAGTCAAATTTTTTACACAAACTTTAAGCATTTTTTAATGTCTGACACAATGTCAAACACTGTGCTTACACTGCATATAAATGTTACAGTATATAAATTATATATTTTTATAGGGTATTTAAATTATTATGATGCATGTATTCTAAAGTCGGTTTTGAAGAAGAACCAAATGTTTAATAAAACCTTCATTTTAGCTTTAGTTTTCAAGTTTTAGAATAAGTCTTGAATGTCACTTGGGAAGGAATATAAAAATAAATGTTTGTCTTGTAATTACTGATTGATTGCCAGCATGCAAGAATGAAAGTAAAATAAAGATTCTGGTAATCTGGCTGAAAACCACTCTCAGCACCATGACACATTTACAGCATCTGCTCCTGTATTAATCAATGAGATTTGATTGTTCCTGATGCCATGCATATGTGCGAAAATACAAGGTGTTACATCAGTGCAATGATTTTTTTTAACTAATACGAAAGTTTACAACTTACCTCTCCAGGTTGTTCATTCAGTTTTATTGCCTCAATATCCCTTGGTAAATGAAATCTCTTCCTTCGTGAGGGTTTCAGGCAGTCCAAGTACCCGACAATGAGAGCAGAGAAAAAGAAAACGTCTGGGAGGGCTGTGGGGAAGAAAAAAAAGACAATCAAATTTAAAGGGGGAAAAAAAAAAATCAAAAGAAGGAGCTTGTGCTTAAAGACAAGCCTAAATAATCCATCTGAGATCCAGGAGACACTATCAGATGGGGTGCATACAAATCAGAAACCTACCTCTGCAGCAATCCAGGTCCAATATCCTCAGGGTCCTAAGGCTGCAGTCTAAAATGTTACACTTACAGTTTAAGCTTGTTTTTGTTGATGTGGACAAAAAGATTGGTAAATAGAATTTTAACTGCTATGTTTATAAATAAAATATTTTTCATTCTGTAAAGACTACATTTTTCAACCAAACAAATAACCATTTAAAGAGCATTTACACATCCCACCTAAAAGTAAGCTTGTGGTTGAGCCACTGACTTGTCAACATTCAAAGAACATGTATTAAATAATGACCAAGGTCATTTTCTTTTCAACAGCATCCTTATCACCAACTCACTTACCCAGAACCTCCGTCAAATTCAGATGAGTGGTTTTGAATTCATCTACAGCCAATGTTGTGAACGTCAGGTCTGTCTGACTGACAGAGTACCCCTCTGTCAGTCTCTCGTGAGGTAATTGGTTTCATCACACTCACCTGTGTTCTGTGGGTCTCTGTTAATCAGTCTCAACTATCTCACCTGGTGCCTAGCTACTCCATATACAGCTGTCACCAACTCACCTTGTTGGATTATTGTGGTTCTTGTCATTGTTACTTTTGTTCTAAGGGAAAAAAAAGTTTGGGAAACACTGTTCTAAGGTATTCTGTTCCAATTTCCCAGTACTTATTTCTTGTGTTTTCAACCTCTCTGTTGACTCCAATACTAACAATAAAAGTAAAAAATATATAACTTTGAAAAATGTAATGATCCTTCAATAATGGCGCGGGTTTACCACTCAGCGGGTTTTCCCTGAGATCAATGTGCCTAAATTTCCCGAAGAACTCCCGAGGGATTATTAAAGATCTAAGTCACACAGACCACACTACCCATAAGGCACTGCGGACATACACACCGACATGCTACACCGCTTAAATATAAACCAGCGTACACAAACAACCACAATAAAAGTGTGTCACAAAATCCATTTATTTCGACAGAATAGCGGACAGTGATGTATCTATTGTTGCTGCTTCACCATTCAACCCGTGGCAGAGTCTTAGTACACACGTACTCATGTTTGCACCGCTGCACTTTTTGGTCCGGCAGCATAAAGTGTCCCTGTGGAAACTCGAACGATGGGAGAGCTCTGCTTGCGTGCGCTTAGTGTAGGGCAGTACTTCTCAAATAGTGGGGCGGGCCCCTTGGAGGGCCGCGGTGAGATGCCAGGGGGTGCGTGAGGGGCTTCCAATAGAATATGGCACGCTATACTGTACATAAGTGTATCACTGCTGTAATGCTTGAATGATGACAAGCCTCCAGTCACTAGGTGGCAGCAACTCATGCAGTGGTTTGTACAGATAAAAAATACTTGTTACTTGTTCATATTTAATAGTTCCAAAGAAGTATATGTTATTGAAGATTATAAATATGAATGTTTATTTTTACATGTTGTTTAAGTTGAATTGTGTTCACTTTTTTCTCATTTATTATTCCTGTGGTGTGTTGTGTTAGTTTGTAAGTTGTCCTGGCAAAAGTGCTTGGTCTACATTAGTGTGGGGGACATGTATGGGTGCAAATGGACCTTATGTAAAGATGCATCCATATCAGTGTATAGGTGCCATGTACACATGATGGCGTGGATGCATGTTCTGCTATATGTCAGTGTTTGGGAACTTGTGGCTTTATTTTTGACAATTTACTTTATATATATATATATATATATATATATATTTTTTTAATTACTATTTTTTCTATTA